AAAATTAGGATTCCTGCCCCATCCCCAGGGGCTAGGGCGGGGCCCCAAAGGGAACATTTACCAATATTTTCAAATTCTTATCCATTGATGACATGACAAGTATTGTATTTCACTTAGTTTACATGCTGATTTCCACATCACATCTAAACAATAAAATAAAGCTACCAGTACCTATGATATAACTCAGGTGACCGCTAAGGCCCTTGGGCCTCTTGTTGTTGCTTCAATGCACTGAATTAAATCACCGCTAGGTCATATACGGTTTAGAAAGTCTTTAAGGACTGCGACGTCAAATGGTGTCGCCTGCTTCGTCTTGATGCATTGCTGATCAGCCTCTGCGACGCAATGTGCATTCCTGGTCCCGAAATTCCAAGCCATTTTGGCAGACAACAATAATTAAGTGAAAGTAGAATATATACAGCGCCACCTATAGGATAAGGGGTGCAACTCTTAGCATCAAAAGCTACTGTTCCCGCAGTCTACGCGGTCCAAAAAAAAGGTATAGTGCCCGTCTCCAGGTATAGTTCCTGTTGTCAAGGGCGGATGCTAACTATAACAAATAGAACAAGGGTAGTTATCCAATAGCTATCCTAGAAATTATCATGTGATGTACTTCTATGATATTATGCAGGTATGGGGTATATTGAAACTTTACCCCATGGTGTAGAATTTGGGTCAGAACCAAAGCTCATGGAGGTTCTGGCCCAAAATTGTCAATGCCTGTTGAAAACCTTGTCAAGTCATTTCACAAAATATTTTGAACAGAAATTCCTAGTAAGGATTTTAACAATGTAATTTCCAATCTAGAAGTCACAAGGTGCACCTACATGTATGATGAATAGATATTTCTAATAACCAAGGAAAGATATACCTCCAATTTTCCCAGTTTGATATTTCCTTGTCTTGTTTTGACATTAGACATCATAACAAGACATCATGTTGACAAATTAAAGCACTGATGTAATCACAACATTACTTATATAACAAAATTAACAGAGTAAAAAAAAGAAAACAAATCACCCCACCTCTTTTGGGGGTGAGATATGGAATCTCATATGGGTGACCTACATGGGACACTTGTGTTTGGGGTACTTACATATGGGAGAAAAAAGATTTACTAAGTCTGGTTTTTTTTAGGGGGATAATGTCTAACAAACTATATAAGTATAAAATAAAGCTTGAAAGTTCAAGATTTGCCCAAGTGCTTGAGTGTGACCTGAATACAATGTAGCTTGTTTATGTTTTAGATGTTGGTGTTGATGTCTGGGGTGATAGCCTTCTCTGTCAACTTGACCATCTACTGGATCATTGGCAACACTTCACCCGTCACGTATCCTAACCCTGTTACAACATGGACCACTGTACACTCACATAACATCACAATACTTCACCAGTCACGTATCCTAACCCTGTTACAACATGGACCACTGTACACTCACATAACATCACAATACTTCACCAGTCACGTATCCTAACCCTGTTACAACATGGACCACTGTACACTCACACAACATCACAATACTTCACCCGTCACGTATCCTAACCCTGTTAAAACATGGACCACTGTACACTCACATAACATCACAATACTTCACCCGTCACGTATCCTAACCCTGTTACAACATGGACAACCGTACACTCACATAACATCACAATACTTCACCCGTCACGTATCCTAACCCTGTTACAACATGGACAACTGTATACTCACACAACATCACAATACTTCACCCGTCACATATCTTAACCCTGTTACAACATGGACCGCTGTATACTCACACAACATCACAATACTTCACCCGTCACGTATCCTAACCCTGTTACAACATGGACAACTGTATACTCACACAACATCATAATACTTCACCCGTCACGTATCCTAACTCTGTTAAAACATGGACCGCTGTATACTCACACAACATCACAATACTTCACCCATCACGTATCCTAACCCTGTTACAACATGGACAACCGTACACTCTCACTACATCACACTTCGCTCATCACGTATCCTAACCCTGTTACAACATGGACCACTGTACACTCACACACAGCATCATAATACTTCGCCCATTACATATCCTAACCCTGTTACAACAGGGACAACCGTACACTCACACACAGCATCATAATACTTCGCACATCACGTATCCTAACCCTGTTACAACAGGGACAACCGTACACTCACACACAGCATCATAATACTTCGCCCATCACATATCCTAACCCTGTTACAACAGGGACAACCGTACACTCACACACAGCATCATAATACTTCGCCCATCACGTATCCTAACCCTGTTACAACAGGGACAACCGTACACTCACACACAGCATCATAATACTTCGCCCATCACATATCCTAACCCTGTTACAACAGGGACAACCGTACACTCACACACAGCATCATAATACTTCGCCCATCACGTATCCTAACCCTGTTACAACAGGGACAACCGTACACTCACACACAGCATCATAATACTTCGCCCATCACATATCCTAACCCTGTTACAACAGGGACAACCGTACACTCACACACAGCATCATAATACTTCGCCCATCACATATCCTAACCCTGTTACAACAGGGACAACCGTACACTCACACACAGCATCATAATACTTCGCCCATCACGTATCCTAACCCTGTTACAACAGGGACAACCGTACACTCACACACAGCATCATAATACTTCGCCCATCACATATCCTAACCCTGTTACAACAGGGACAACCGTACACTCACACACAGCATCATAATACTTTGCCCATCACATATCCTAACCCTGTTACAACAGGGACAACCGTACACTCACACACAGCATCATAATACTTCGCCCATCACGTATCCTAACCCTGTTACAACAGGGACAACCGTACACTCACACACAGCATCATAATACTTCGCCCATCACATATCCTAACCCTGTTACAACAGGGACAACCGTACACTCACACACAGCATCATAATACTTCGCCCATCACGTATCCTAACCCTGTTACAACAGGGACAACCGTACACTCACACACAGCATCATAATACTTCGCCCATCACATATCCTAACCCTGTTACAACAGGGACAACCGTACACTCACACACAGCATCATAATACTTCGCCCATCACGTATCCTAACCCTGTTACAACAGGGACAACCGTACACTCACACACAGCATCATAATACTTCGCCCATCACATATCCTAACCCTGTTACAACAGGGACAACCGTACACTCACACACAGCATCATAATACTTCGCCCATCACATATCCTAACCCTGTTACAACAGGGACAACCGTACACTCACACACAGCATCATAATACTTCGCCCATCACATATCCTAACCCTGTTACAACAGGGACAACCGTACACTCACACACAGCATCATAATACTTCGCCCATCACGTATCCTAACCCTGTTACAACAGGGACAACCGTACACTCACACACAGCATCATAATACTTCGCCCATCACATATCCTAACCCTGTTACAACAGGGACAACCGTACACTCACACACAGCATCATAATACTTCGCCCATCACGTATCCTAACCCTGTTACAACAGGGACAACCATACACTCACACACAGCATCATAATACTTCGCCCATCACGTATCCTAGCCCTGTTACAACAGGGACAACCCTACACTCACACACAGCATCATAATACTTCGCCCATCACGTATCCTAGCCCTGTTACAACAGGGACAACCCTACACTCACACACAGCATCATAATACTTCGCCCATCACGTATCCTAGCCCTGTTACAACAGGGACAACCCTACACTCACACACAGCATCATAATACTTCGCCCATCACGTATCCTAGCCCTGTTACAACAGGGACAACCCTACACTCACACACAGCATCATAATACTTCGCCCATCACGTATCCTAACCCTGTCACAACATAAACAACTTACACTCACAAACAACATCCTTATCCTAGTTGTGACATCACAAACAAATGTATCAACCACCAGTCACGTATCTCCAGCCTGTTACAGCGCAAACAACTTACTACGTGATTGTGAGATCTGTTACTCTGTAATGAAATACTTTAATGATAAACTGGGATGTGTTTCCATGTAATATTATTATAAGATATGTATTACCCTGTTCATGTGATGATGAAAACTGTGTTACCCTCTTAATATGATTATGATATCTCTGTTACCCTGTAATATTATAATAAGATCTGTGTTATCCTGTTAATTGATACAGAGATCTGTGTAGTACTGTAAATATGGTGAGATCTGTTACCCTGTTGCGAAATAATGAGATCTATGCTACCCTGTAAAGAGATGCTGAGATCTGTGTTACCCTATAAAGAGATGGTGAGATCTATGTTCCCCTGTAAAGAGATGCTGAGATCTGTGTTACTGTGTAAAGAGATGCTAAGATCTGTGTTACTGTGTAAAGAGATGGTGAGACCGGTAATACCCTGTAAAGAGATGCTGAGATTTGTGTTACCCTGTAAAGAGATGCTGAGATCTGTGAGACCCTGTAAAGAGATGCTGAGACCTGTGATACCCTGTAAAGATATGCTGAGACCTGTGTTACGCTGTAAAGAGATGCTGAGATCTGTGTTACTGTGTAAAGATATGGTGAGACCTGTGTTACGCTGTAAAGAGATGCTGAGATCTGTGAGACCCTGTAAAGAGATGCTGAGAGCTGTGATACCCTGTAAAGATATGCTGAGACCTGTGTTACGCTGTAAAGAGATGCTGAGATCTGGGTTACTGTGTAAAGATATGGTGAGACCTGTGTTACGCTGTAAAGAGATGCTGAGATCTGGGTTACTGTGTAAAGATATGGTGAGACCTGTGTTACGCTGTAAAGAGATTCTGAGATCTGTGAGACCCTGTAAAGAGATGCTGAGACCTGTAATACCCTGTAAAGAGATGCTGAGATCTGTGATACCCTGTAAAGAGATGCTGAGATCTGTGAGACCCTGTAAAGAGATGCTGAGACCTGTGATACCCTGTAAAGAGATGGTGAGATCTGTGTTACCCTGTAAAGAGATGGTGAGATCTGTGTTACTGTGTAAAGAGATGGTGAGACCTGTGTTACCCTGTAAAGAGATGGTGAGATCTGTGTTACCCTGTAAAGAGAATGTTAGATCTGTGTTACCCTATAAAGAGATGGAGAGATCTGTGTTACCCTGTAAAGAGATGGTGAGACCTGTGTTACCCTGTAAAGAGATGCTGAGATCTCGTTACCATGTAATGTAATTGCAATGTGTGATCTGCATCAAGTTGTTTGTAATTGTGCCTTTTTTGTGGTAACTGTTACTTATTTGTGTTGCCCTGTAACGGAATGGGGGTGAGATTTATGTAATCTGTCACGTATTTGTGTAATTTGTCCTTGACCCTAATCAGATACAACATGGCTGGCCACCTCAAGTTCTGTGTAACAGTACTACTGGGGGTTCTTGTGTTCAGTGATCCCCTGTCATTTCTACAAGTCTTAGGCATAGCTACCACTCTCTCAGGTAAGTACATTGACGTTACCTAGAGGATCTTACACGAGTGTCCATGTCATATTGAATTTATTTAGTGCGTTCAATTATGTGAAATGATGCAAGCCTTTAGGCAAGTGTCATATCAAATTATGGAACAAGTTCAATAAAGAAAAGAAGCAATCAGAAGGGGGCTCTAGATCTATATTGGTCTGTCCTTCCAGTTCACTTGTTCTTAAAAAAACCACCACTAAAACTACATTTTTAACTTGCAGGAGTGATAGGCTACACACATTTTAAGATGGCAGAGCAGGTTAAACAAGTCCTTCCTCAACAAAACAACTAATAGACAGATTAAATCATCATCTACAGAAAAAATCATTGATAGATAGCTACTTCAACAAGGCAAATTTTCAGCAGACAGCCTGTCTACCACAACAGTGCTAGCCATAGACACGGACATGTAGACTTTCTAACTGGACATTTCATAAAACAGCCAGGCCGACTCAGCAGATCTAGGGCAGTTCCTTGAAAGACAGCCAGCTGTCTACCACAAAAGTACCAGCCATAGGCTGACAGCAAGCCAACTCAATAAAACCCTTAACAAGACGGATAGCCTGCAGGCTACCATAGAAAATGAATTGGCATGAAGACAGTCTTCATTCGTAATAGAGTAGGGTACAAGCACACTGTCCCTCACAGAAAATGGATGGTTCGGTTGAGGTAACCTGGCCAGTCAAGTGTCGACATGTGTGTCTTCATATTCACATAGTGAGCATATCATCTGTTCTCTTTGAGTACATGGACGTGATGAAATTTCTTCTTGACATTAAAGAGTTATATACTGTCTATCATTCCTGTCCCAGGAGTGATACACTCCTCTGAGATGTATGGAGATTTATTTTTGTTGTGACATAGACAGTGCCATGTTGTGATACACCTGTTAACTGTGACTAGTGTCACATTTGATCATGTTAATTATGTAAACATGGGTTTGAATTTTATAGGTATAATATATATTTATCAGCATTGGTAACCTAGATAAATTAACCCTTATTTTCTCTGCCACTTCACTAGTCTATTCAATTTTCTGGTGTCTGCTTCTCTTTATAAATCACCCACTAGATAGTGTATGCTAGAAACTTTGGCCTAGTTCAACCTAAAAATTGGCCCTTCAATAATATTCTCTGTAGCAGCGTTAGTTTGCCTTCTCATTTAATTACTAAAGTGTAGTGTGTTGCATAATAATGTTTGCTGTCATGATAAATTTGTCCTCATTAATATAAGGAGGCTGAACATTTCTTGGTTTACAGAGTATTGACTTATTGCTTTATAACAGCAACAATATGACAGTGTAATGAGGTTTTGTGTATATCAGAGGACATAGTAACCCGAGTCCTGTGTGAGTAGTGATTATTTAGTCACTTAGTCCTGTGTGAGTAGTGATTATATAGTCACTTAGTCCTATGTGAGTAGTGATTATTTAGTCACTTAGTCCTGTGTGAGTAGTGATTATTTAGTCACTTAGTCCTGTGTGAGTAGTGATTATTTAGTCACTTAGTCCTGTGTGAGTAGTGATTATTTAGTCACTTAGTCCTGTGTGAGTAGTGATTATTTAGTCACTTAGTCCTGTGTGAGTAGTGATTATTTAGTCACTTAGTCCTGTGTGAGTAGTGATTATTTAGTCACTTAGTCCTGTGTGAGTAGTGATTATTTAGTCACTTAGTCCTGTGTGAGTAGTGATTATTTAGTCACTTAGTCCTGTGTGAGTAGTGATTATTTAGTCACTTAGTCCTGTGTGAGTAGTGATTATTTAGTCACTTAGTCCTGTGTGAGTAGTGATTATTTAGTCACTTAGTCCTGTGTGAGTAGTGATTATTTAGTCACTTAGTCCTGTGTGAGTAGTGATTATTTAGTCACTTAGTCCTGTGTGAGTAGTGATTATTTAGTCACTTAGTCCTGTGTGAGTAGTGATTATTTAGTCACTTAGTCCTGTGTGAGTAGTGATTATTTAGTCACTTAGTCCTGTGTGAGTAGTGATTATTTAGTCACTTAGTCCTGTGTGAGTAGTGATTATTTAGTCACTTAGTCCTGTGTGAGTAGTGATTATTTAGTCACTTAGTCCTGTGTGAGTAGTGATTATTTAGTCACTTAGTCCTGTGTGAGTAGTGATTATTTAGTCACTTAGTCCTGTGTGAGTAGTGATTATTTAGTCACTTAGTCCTGTGTGAGTAGTGATTATTTAGTCACTTAGTCCTGTGTGAGTAGTGATTATTTAGTCACTTAGTCCTGTGTGAGTAGTGATTATTTAGTCACTTAGTCCTGTGTGAGTAGTGATTATTTAGTCACTTAGTCCTGTGTGAGTAGTGATTATTTAGTCACTTAGTCCTGTGTGAGTAGTGATTATTTAGTCACTTAGTCCTGTGTGAGTAGTGATTATTTAGTCACTTAGTCCTGTGTGAGTAGTGATTATTTAGTCACTTAGTCCTGTGTGAGTAGTGATTATTTAGTCACTTAGTCCTGTGTGAGTAGTGATTATTTAGTCACTTAGTCCTGTGTGAGTAGTGATTATTTAGTCACTTAGTCCTGTGTGAGTAGTGATTATTTAGTCACTTAGTCCTGTGTGAGTAGTGATTATTTAGTCACTTAGTCCTGTGTGAGTAGTGATTATTTAGTCACTTAGTCCTGTGTGAGTAGTGATTATTTAGTCACTTAGTCCTGTGTGAGTAGTGATTATTTAGTCACTTAGTCCTGTGTGAGTAGTGATTATTTAGTCACTTAGTCCTGTGTGAGTAGTGATTATTTAGTCACTTAGTCCTGTGTGAGTAGTGATTATTTAGTCACTTAGTCCTGTGTGAGTAGTGATTATTTAGTCACTTAGTCCTGTGTGAGTAGTGATTATTTAGTCACTTAGTCCTGTGTGAGTAGTGATTATTTAGTCACTTAGTCCTGTGTGAGTAGTGATTATTTAGTCACTTAGTCCTGTGTGAGTAGTGATTATTTAGTCACTTAGTCCTGTGTGAGTAGTGATTATTTAGTCACTTAGTCCTGTGTGAGTAGTGATTATTTAGTCACTTAGTCCTGTGTGAGTAGTGATTATTTAGTCACTTAGTCCTGTGTGAGTAGTGATTATTTAGTCACTTAGTCCTGTGTGAGTAGTGATTATTTAGTCACTTAGTCCTGTGTGAGTAGTGATTATTTAGTCACTTAGTCCTGTGTGAGTAGTGATTATTTAGTCACTTAGTCCTGTGTGAGTAGTGATTATTTAGTCACTTAGTCCTGTGTGAGTAGTGATTATTTAGTCACTTAGTCCTGTGTGAGTAGTGATTATTTAGTCACTTAGTCCTGTGTGAGTAGTGATTATTTAGTCACTTAGTCCTGTGTGAGTAGTGATTATTTAGTCACTTAGTCCTGTGTGAGTAGTGATTATTTAGTCACTTAGTCCTGTGTGAGTAGTGATTATTTAGTCACTTAGTCCTGTGTGAGTAGTGATTATTTAGTCACTTAGTCCTGTGTGAGTAGTGATTATTTAGTCACTTAGTCCTGTGTGAGTAGTGATTATTTAGTCACTTAGTCCTGTGTGAGTAGTGATTATTTAGTCACTTAGTCCTGTGTGAGTAGTGATTATATAGTCACTTAGTCCTGTGTGAGTAGTGATTATTTAGTCACTTAGTCCTGTGTGAGTAGTGATTATTTAGTCACTTAGTCCTTTGTGAGTAGTGATTATTTAGTCACTTAGTCCTGTGTGAGTAGTGATTATTTAGCCACTGAGTCCTGTGTGAGTAGACTGGTTATTTAGGCACTTAGTCCTTTGTGAGTAGTGGATATTTTTTAATGATTTACTCTGCTAGACAAAATTAATGGTGATTTCTTCACGATTCCCTGAACTATAAAAATTATTTTCTCATAATTTACTGCAATGAATTTCCTGTACTAGATCAAGTTAGTGGTTAGCATTATCATGATATACTGCACTACAAAAAATTGTAATGCAATTATTACTCTTGCGAACCACTAGGAGTTTAATTTTTGTTTCACAATCTGCCGGTAGTCCAATATTCGACAGAAAGTGTGTATACCATACTTGTGAAACACCAGTAAAATATTTCGCTACATGTTGTGTTAAAAAAATCTTTAAATGTTCACTATGATCATGCGTTATTTCTGTAGTTCACAATGCTAGCCACTCTTTGTTATAATATATAAGAGACATTGTTAATGAAATATGGGCAATTTTATGCACCTTTCAAGAAATTTCATTCCATTGACCATTATTTTTAGGTGTTGGATGGAGGGGGGGGGGGGGGGGGCCTATACAAGAATCAGATTGTCTGTCTGTCTGTACGGAGAATCTTGTATCTACATCTCTACAGGTTTCATCATAATTTTTTGAAACTCCACTGATGTAATCACTACACTCTTATATAAGTGCTTATTTTGTTATCTGCCTATGTTCATAAGAGTTGTTCCCCCTGTTGTGAAATCCTTTGTTATGTCTTGTTCATGTGAATAATGTTCATGAGATCTTTTGGCAGACTTTTATGATGATAGGGGAGGGGTGGTATAAAAAGGGGTGGTATTAAGAGGGATGGTATTGGCCTATGGCTTACAGTTGTTGTTATTATTAATGCTGTCCATCCATCTCTAAACCTTTTGTACAAGTATTTCTTCTTTTTCCAAACGATGTCTTCAAAACTTCTACATCCTCCAGATACCAGATGTGCTCCTACATGCGTATAGCTGTGTGTTAGCGTTATGTACAGAATATTGGACCAGCATTACAAATCGCCAAACATCTACCTGGTAGTCGCTTAGTTCAACCATTTTCTCGAAACTTGCTAGGATTTGTCACCATCATTTTCACCCAAGTAAGTTGTGCATGTTGATCCAACATTATGATTAGTTATTGCACTTGTTTGCACTTCAGGTATTACAAACTTTTCCAGGTACCTAGTTTCTTAGGTCTCCATCTGATTTCCTTGAAAGCTTTAGGTCTCCATCTGATTTTCTTGAAAGCAGATAGAGTTGATCATCATTAAAAACTTGAGAATGTGTTTGACAAAAAAACAGGGATTGATACCTCAAAAATATATCAATAACAGCTGTACTGAAGTAATTGGATAATAGATATACCAAACGTAAAACAGTGACGAAAGCTATACCAAAACGGTAAGCCTAAAATTTAATAAGACCAAAACATACAGATAACAGCTATACAAAACAGTATGGACAGCTAACTGACCTACCTAAACAAACAAACCATTAACAACTAAACCAAACTGTATGGATAGCTAACTGACCTACCCAAACAAACCATTAACAGCTATTATACCAAACTGTATGGTAGCTAACTGACCTACTTAAACAAACCATTAACAGCTATTATACCGAACTGTATGGATAGCTAACTGACCTAGCTACCTAAACAAACCATTTACAGCTATTATACCAAACTGTATGGATAGCTAAATGACCTAAAAAAAACATTAACAGCTATACCAAACTGTATGGTAGCTAACTGACCTACCTAAACAAACCATTAACAGCTAATATACCAAACTGTATGGATAGCTAAATGACCTAAAAAAAACATTAACAGCTATACCAAACTGTATGGTAGCTAACTGACCTACCTAAACAAACCATTAACAGCTATTATACCAAACTGTATGGATAGCTAAATGACCTACCCAAACAAACCATTAACAGCTATACCAAACGGTATGGATAGCTAACTGACCTACCTAAAAAACCCATTAACAGCTATACCAAACTGTATGGTAGCTAACTGACCTACCTAAACAAACCATTAACAGCTATTATACTGAACGGTATGGATAGCTAACTGACCTACCTAAACAAACCATTAACAGCTATACCAAACTGTATGGATAGCTAACTGACCTAGCTACCCAAACAAACCATTAACAGCTATACCAAACTGTATGGATAGCTATATAGCTAACTGACCTACCCAAACAAACCATTAACAGCTATACCAAACTGTATGGATAGCTAACTGACCTACCTAAACAAGCCATTAACAGCTATACCAAACTGTATGGATAGCTAACTGACATACCTAAACAAACCATTAACAACTAAACTAAACTGTATGGAAAGCTAACTGACCTAGCTAAACAAACCATTAACAGCTATACTAAACTGTATGGATAGCTAAATGACCTACCCAAACAAACCAGTAACAGCTTAACTAAATATGTGAATCACAAACCCAATTCAAAGATAACCAGATAATAGCTGTCTGTTCATGTCCTATAGGCCTGTAAACAAGGGGCCCAAAGGGCCTTAAGGTGGATCCAATGTGCAGAAGGTTAAACACTAGTTCAATTATAGAACAGTTTAAAGTAACCCAAGGACATTAAGCATGAACAGAAAAGCTTCAATATCAATGATAATTCAAACCACCAAAAAATTGTAAATACTAGCTAGTTCGTCCATTTTGGTAATAGCTTATCAAACATTTTGGTAATAGCACTTGACACCCTCTAGACCTTATAGATCTTTAGAATTAAGTCTTTTAATGATTTTTCACCTGCGACTTCGAAAGTGAATCAAAGTCATTCAATGAACAAATTTGATAACACTTCATCCTAGTAAACTACAGGCAAGTCATCATCTAACGACTGGTAGGCCTTTGGATGGTATTAAGTTGTTTGAACAACCTTCTTATTAAGTGGGTCAACATAATTTATTTGAACAAAGTTGATAGCCTTACATGCTTACAAACTTAATAGGACCAATACTGTTACTTTGCCCTATTGAATTAACACATTTGGTCCTTTCTGTCCTAAATGGTGGATAAAGGCTAATTTATCCAAGCATTCTTGATATATTCCATCATCCAATATGTTTTATTAATTTTTCATTAGGAATACTTTTGGGTGGCATTCATACTACCGCTGTTCTTTTTATGCTTATATATTATATATTGTTTATTACTAAAATAAAGATTTTTAAAATTACACATGATTTATTACTTTATTACACTGTCAATGTTATATTGTTTTATAATACTTTAAATTCATACAAAATTGTAGTTAAAACTTAAGGATTAATAAAACTAGATATTGTTGGCTGACAATTTGACGGACTTTTCAACGTTAGGACTGATTTGGTCTTTGATCACGAACCTATTTTGAAACGTCATGGTCTTTACACTTTATGAAGAAAAGGATAATACAAACCATAGTACTGAAAGTAAGCTTTGTTTTTCTTTTATTATAAATCAAAGTTCTGAAATAACTAATACCATTCCAAAACTAAAAATTTGAAGATGGATTTTGACAGTCATTGTTTAAGTCTTTTGACATGTTTAACCTCTGTGACTTAAAAATTGATCAAGGTCAATCATTTTTTCAGACTTGATAGCAAATCTTGTAGAACTTGAAAAAAAATGACTGAAAGATTTTACCTTGAAATAGCACATTTAAACATTGACCCCTACAAGAAACCGAAAGTTGACCTTTGACACAAAAAAGTTTGCAGAGAAAAATATGTGTATTGATAATATCAAAATATTATGTTAACGACTTTATTCTTTTTTTTAAATATTCTGGTTTAAAGAAATATTTACTTTTTTTAGACATTTGACCTCTTTGACCCCAATCATTGATCAAGGTCAACCATTTCTTCAAACCTGATATCTAGACCTTAAAGAACTTGAAAACAAGCTTTTCATAGCTAGCATGCTACCCAAAAAAGTGTATTTGAACTTTTGACCCTTACTGAAAACTAAGACATTTGACATAAAAATGTATCCTGAGAGTTTTTTTAGCATTTTTTGTCTTCTTAACTGTTGAGGCTTAACATAACCAGAGGTAAAATTGATGGCTTTAATTGTTAATGAGTTATTGCAATTAGGAAAGGAATATGAGGCGATGGTGGCCATCTTTGATATGGGATCAAACCAAAAGTTATCAAACATTTGGTAGATAGTCTGGGCAAACATAAATACCTACACTGGATGAAATCTACGTAGCAGAACATCAGAATAAAATGTTTTTTGAGTTATGGTCATTTTGCAATTTTAACCTACGACGTCGACATCATGGCAGCCATATTGGATTTCGACCTACTTGAAAATGTTACAATGACCCTTTTTGACCTTGGCCTGCAATTAACTTGTATGACTGTAAACCTATCTGCTTCCAATCAAAAGATTAGGTGGCCACAAAATCATGGCAGAAGAATGATAAGAAGAAGAAGAAGAAACATAACAAAAACAATAGGTCTTTTCACCATAAATTAAAAGCCCTAATTAAATGCTATCCATTTCCATCCTGTCTGTCGTCTTTTTAAAGGTCGACCAGTGTGTTATACTTCTCTGGTCTCTGCATTAACTTTCTCATTACAACGTATTTGCCGTAATTAACACCCAGGGTCTGCTTTAAAATGTAAAAACTTAGCACAAATATATATAAAAAAATATCCAAAAGGATTTGGTACCAATATTAGAGTCTCAGTAAAACCGTCTATTGATTGGGCTTGGTCAGGTCTGAGAGGAGAGTCAATCTAGCTTAGATTCATCATGAAAAGAGCAGGGGTGCTTATAGGGGGAAAAGTGCTAATCATGGCATAAAATCCAAAAATGGTATATATCTTGAACTTAAGTCACATGTCCATACCATTAAACATATTAAACATTACTGAATATACAGTGTAGTCTTTCTAATCTAGATATTACACTATTGGATCAAAATAATTGACCAGTCTATATGTAGTCGGTGATGTTGGATATCAACATTTTATGTACAGGTAACTCATTATACATGTTCTTTGAAATGTAGCACTGATTGAAGAACAAACAAGAGGCCCAATGGGCCTGCATCGCTCACCTGGTATAAATCTCACACTTGTAACCTTAAAAGTGATCTAAAATAAAGCTACAGGCAAAATAAAATATCAGTATTTATGATTAAAATTCATTCAAAAGAACCTGTTATTTTTTTTTAAACATTTCACCCCTGTGATTGAAAGTCGAACAAAGTCATTATGTTGAACAAATTTTGTAGCCTTTCATCTCAGGATGCAACTTGCAAAGTATCAACA